AAAATACACTGAATTTTGTCTATTATTTTACACAAACTCTTCATTGCATTGAATTTACTCTTCATATCAATCAACGAAACACTCATTAATTTTGAACACATTTTCAAACAAAAATTAAAAACAATTTGAAATCAATTGTATATCTAATTCAATGGTTAATGAGATGTAAAGATGACTTTACATGACATACAGTAAATGTCTAAAACCACAAAATGGCTGCAAAATTATAATACCACACGTGCTTTTATCGCACAAAAAGTAGTTTAGTAAAAACCTGTTTCATCTAGATTTTGCAGTGTTTATTGTGTCCAGTTAAAATTTTATTGCACAAAAGATGTCCATTTACAATCTCAAGAAACATATTAATTATACAATAATTAAATCGAGAATTTATAAAAATATATAATTTATAATATATTTACATATTCTAAACGTATATGCGTTAATTGTCATGATGACATATTTATAAATTAATTAATTTGTATTTTATAAAATGTTTTAATTATCTGCATTGTAAAGATATTGTAATATTCAATTTTACATTCATTACTTTATTTACAAAACATATTTGTAAATTTATTTACTTTATTTGCCTGATGACCTGAACATAACTTTTCAAATAAACTACAACGTGTAAATAAACGATGTATTTTTATTTTATATTATGTTAATAAATGTAAATAAATACATAGTTTTAATAATAAAATCAAATGTTAATTATTCAAGTATTAAATATTTTGCTATAAGTTATAAATTATAACACAATAAATAAGATAATAATATATTTTAATATATTTATTTAAATTATTATTGATTTACAGATTAATTTATTTAAATGATATTTTAACTAATTTAATGTTTTTTTAAAATAAAGATTGTGCTAGAAAGTGTTTGACAAATAATTTATTATATTAATTTCTATCACTTTAATATTAATAAGTTTGATTAAAATATAACTTTCCATTCATTTATTTATTTATCAAACAATTTGTATAATTATTTACTATTTACATGTAAAGTCTTGAGTAAAGTATGTATGTAAAGTATTGATGTAAAGTATTGATGTAAAGTATTGATGTAAAGTACTTTACATCTTGATCAAATAAACTAAATTTCTAATATTTAAATATTAATAGTTAACTATAATAATTAAAATCTACTACATATAAATAAAGTATATTACATGGTATTATCATTATTATACTAAACTACATAGATCCTATTCTAAAACATTTAAATCCAGCTCGATTAACATGAATATAAATCACTTATTAATACACGTCATGCTATGGACGCATCGCTTAATGGGTATAACGTTTGGCGGACTTACTATTGACAAAACCGGTAAATTTTCAGCAAGAACATCCTGGAAAATCTATGGACATATTATTACTCTATTATCATTTTTTGGCGATTGTTTATTTTTAACATTATTAATTATGGCAACACTTATGTTATTGACCTCGGTAGACACATCGTACTATCGATTAGGGTATACCGCACTCGCCCTCGTTGTAATGCAAGGCATATCGTTTACGTACAAAACTGTCGCCATGTTATACATCAATGGCGGCAAAGGGTTTGCATTAATAACTAGATTAAGGGATATTCTGGCCATTGAAAGCAAATATCGATTATATAAACCCAGAAACTATTTGTTCGTATTGATTATATGGCTAACTCACGCTGTGTTGACCATAATGGTTTACATATTTGCTGTTTTATATTACTCGGATAAAAATACTGTTCATTGGTTCATGTTGCTAAATGCCCATTTTTACTTGTTGGTGCTATTTTCATGGACACTGCCCAGTATAATGTGGGTAATTTCTATATCATGTGCAAATATTTTTGAGCATATAGCGACCAGGATGCGTAATTTAACTAAAGAATACCCAGGTTAATGTAGTTTTTATTACTTAATTAAATTAAGCAAGTTAAACTATTATATTTTAAGTTCTCTCTCTCTCTCTCTCTCTCTCTCTCTCTCTCTCTTAGAATTTGAAAGAATATTTCTATTGAGAAATAAATTAACGGAAATTACAGAAAACAAGAAACAATTCGTAAATATATGTGAAATAATTACAGAATTGGACGAAAGCCTCAAATATGTTACAATATTAAACACAATTAATACGATATACTCTGCCTTAATACAAATCTATGTGGCAATAGTATTAGAATCGTATTTTCATGCAAAAATAGGTGACATGCTATTATTGTGGTCAATAGCAACAGGGTCGTTTATTATCGAAATGATTATTTCGTGTTTAATTTGTGGCCGAATTGGTGTAAATGTGGGTAAAATAAGCGCCGCTTTGAATACAATATGCGGCAGTCATTTGTCGGACTCGGAGTACAAGGAATTGGTTTTATTCGGCAATGCGTTAAGAAATACGCCGACCGTTGGCTTCACTATCGGTAGGTTTGCGGCCATTAATAAGTCGACACTTATTTCCGTAAGTATTGTATTTTAGCAATTATTTTCAATTTACATTTCTATATTCATTTCATTTCTATTCATTTCAATAAAACCTTTACTGCTTTCTATTTGTGCTAGATTTTTACATTTGTACTCAACTACACTGTTCTTCTAACTCAATCAATTAGATAATAAACATGGTATGTGATTATTATTTGGTAAACAAAATCTATAATAAAATCTAAACATTGTTGTATCAAACTAAACTATTTAATTTAATAAAATAACATTTATTAATTTTTGTAATGATAGTATAATTGTAATGATAATTAGTAATTGACATATTGACAATATTATTTTTTAAAAAATTTAAAAATGATTTCATAAAATAAAATTTAATTAGAAATGTTTATGTGTTGTATTAACCGGAAGTCTTAATTTTTAGTTATATGCTTGAACTACACTTTAAACTCGTTAAAGCCCATCAGGTAGAATTTTATTTGCCCTACTGTTTTGTTTATTTAACATAAACTATCTATTGATATGTATTTTATTAACATTGGCCTTGGGCAGATCAGATAAGTGCATTGCAAACAATGTATACAAACTAATAATATTTTGTCGTAATACTAATTATATAGAAAGCTATTTAATTAATTACAATTATAAATAAAGTTATACTTTTTTATCACATAAACTTAAATTTATTTATTAATAATACAACAATATTAATTTATATTATTCTTATTACAAAATAACATTATTAATTAGATATAAAGAAAATACAATTAATTTGAAAAATCTAATTAAAACATTTAAACAAGTTTATGTAATTAGTCATATTTAATTTGGATATAGAATAGTCTGTTGTGGTCTATTCAGTGATGCATTTACCATTGCGACAAAACTCTTTCAAGCAAGGTCCATACGATGCGCCACACAATGCTCCACGTCAGACATCTCCGCGCCCTCAGCGCCCTCCGCCGCCTCCGTGGTGTCCGCCCTTTCCGCGCCTTGGGATTGCTCCGCCCCCTCCGCCCCTTCCGCCCCCTCCGCCCCTTGGGATCGCTCCGCCCCCTACGATCGACGCAACCTCTTCTGCCTCTTTCTTCCCGCGTTTGACGCGTTGGTAAACTGTGTTAATATTGCGCTCCATTTGTCCCGATTCATGCATCGCAGTCAACACGACCAGTGCGGTGACCCATAGCAACAAAGTTATCTTATTCATACTTTTCTGAAAATATAAATGATTGATAAACACAAAACATTTTCTTTTTGGGGTTATATAATACGGTTGGCTGTGATATGATTGGCTGTGAGACACTACTCAACTCACACACAAGTCTAACAGCCAATCATATTGCTGTAGTGAAGGTCACGTACACACCAAATGATTGCATAACCCCAAAAAGAAAAAATTCTCACTTTATATAGTTTATAAATTATAGTTTATAAATTACAATTTTTTTATAAAATTTTGTATTCACTTACTTGACGTGCAAAAGGTAAATGAAAATTTTTAATTTTATAATTTTTACAATTTAGTTTATTAAACATATGGGCAGAAAGTCATGTTGTTAATATTAATGTATTACATTAATTTAATTAAAAATTATCCAACTTTCTAATGTATAACATTTTTTCAAAGTAATTCAAATTAAAAATTTTAAAATCATTTATTAACAAAAATTTTAACATTATTACAAATATTTGTAATTACAAAACTGTATATTAAATAACAACATTTAATATAATAAAACTTAATACAACAGGTCAACTTTATTGTAATAAAATTCAAGTTAACAAATTGAGAAACTTTCTCACTTCTTGCCTTCCAAATAATCAATTTTTATTAAATTGCTATTTTAAATTAAATATATATAATTAATTATACTTTACTTATTGTTGGTTACTTAAAAATAAATAAGGGGGGTGGGGGGGGGCCGACCGATCCTATTAACCACAT